CGGTGTCCTGGAGACCCTCGGCGGAGTTCGCCGGCAATCTGTGAGTACGGCTCGCTGCCGGTTGTGGTCCTGCCCGCGGGGTGCGGGGCCGGGCACGGTCGAGCAGCGCTCTTGGGTTTCATTTCGCTCCCCGCAGGTACCGGGGAGAGGGGATCGTGCCCGCCAGCCCCCGGGATGTCTGGGAGTGCATCAAACCGGTGGCCGGCGGGCTCAGGACCAAGTGGGACCAAAACGTGAAGGACTTCGAGGTMATCGAAGCCATCAGTGATGTAAGTTCCTTAAAAACTGTTCCGGTGGGATTAACGCCGTGTGTGTTCASCAGCGTTGGGCCTTATGAGACAGCCGATGTTATGTGCAGGGAAGTAAAGAGTCTTAAGTTGTACTGTTTCTGGCTGGATCAGTTGGGCACTGCTGGGATAAGAAACCTTTCTTCTTTCACTTTGTTTTTTTTTATTTTTTCTTTTTCATAAATTTTATTTATTCTATTTATATATAACCAATAGCTTATCTTTCTGAAAGGAGAATTATTCTTGGCTAAATATTGTGTACATAAAATATGTAGCATATATTTAATGTATAACATTGAATATGTAAAATTAAAGATTCCYGCACTGCATTGTTGTTAATGCTGCAAATCAAGCTAAGCGTGACTGTTTTTAGCAAGCAGGAAGAGGAGGTTTACAGAGTACATAGACTTAGCTAAGCAGTGAAGTGTTCACRTCATCAGCCATCAGTTCAGGTCCCATCTTTCACCATGGCAGCAGCAACGCTCTGCCCTGTGGATCACAGCTGGCCTTGGCACAGAAGTGCTTTGCCTCTCATTAATATGGAGATGCTGCACTTTGAGCAGKGCTGTGTTTGAGCAGCAGCTTCTGCTGCCATGGTTGTGCAATCTAATTCCTTGTTTTTTTGAAAGCATGTCAGCAAATTAAAAGGACGTTGGATTTAGATCCTCAAATCTGAAGTGTGTGTACATGCTTGGAGACAGCCGGGTGCAAACACAACCAGTCCCAGAAATGTTTGTGGRAGCTCCCGAAAGTTTCTTTTTCTTGGGGGAATCCCATGGTGGTACCTTTTGACTGTGCTGATTGACATTTTGTTCAACAAGGATGTAGTAGAACTCCTTGATGGGGTTTAGAATGTATAACTAAAAGAGTACCAGAAAGTACAGGGATTTGTCTGCTGTACTTTTCAAAACATGCACTGACATCAATCTGTTTTGTGATACACAGACTGTGTCTGTATGCAGAACCACGACCCCTTCAGCTTGCATGAGGATTATTTCACCAAGGGAATTTGTGGATGTRGTAGTAATGAAGCAATATGAAGATGGGACAATGCTGTCTGCTGGTAAGGGGCTTGTGTTCTCAACAATTCATGCTTTGGAGATGCAGCTAGTGCAAACAACTATGAAATAAAAGCTACCAGAAATAAACATAAAATAAAAACTAAATAACATGCTRTTCAGTAGCTGTTGACCTGATCTTGATCAGAACAGAAAATTGTAGTTATCTCTCTATATTGCTGTTTCCAAAGTATATAAATCATCTTAACAGTCAGATAATGATGATACTATTGGCCTATGGTTTGTTTCCTTGCTATGCTTTTGAGATTGAACAAGTATTTACTTGTTCAATCTGTTAAGTTCTGGGGTATTTTGAGGGTGTGTATTTGTTAAGAATGTACAGAACTTAGGCTAAACATTCTTTTTAAATACATTTGAAAGAGCGAGTTTGTCATTCATCTGGAGCTTTGAGTACCAAGCTCTCTTTCCCATCTTCTGGAATAATGACACTTTCCTTCAATGCTTTCTTACAGCCACCAATGTGGAACACCCGCTGTGTCCTCCTCAACCAAATTTCGTGAGAGGTTTTAATTATCCCTGTGGCTGTTTTTGCATACCTGTTCCAGGGTAAGAGGCAATCTGTTTGAATGTTATAAATTCCCTCCTTATCCATTGTGTGGTGTGTTTATGTGTATGTGGCCACATGTAACCTCTTGCCAATGGCATGTTTCTGTCTTCCCAGTAATCATTATGACTGAGTGCCCCTTTTGTTCTCATTTKTGTTCAATGAATTAGTTTCTCTTCATTTCCTAGAGGGAAGTATTTAATGTTAAGGAACTGTTATCATGGTACAATTCTCCATGATCTCTTGAGCAGAGATTGAGCAAAACATRCAAAGCATAATCCTAATTTTTGGTGAATGAGTATCTGGTTGATTTGCCATAATTTATACACAGAGTCATGTGGCTAGTTAGGGCCTAGATAAACTTTAATTTTGTAGCTACATTTACTGAAATTTGTTTGTCTAAAAAAGGAAAGCTCTTGGAAATGTCTCTTCTAACACATGTGAGAGTCATTGAAATATTGGTAATGCTCTTAAACTGGTTTTAAAATAATTTTCRTTGTTTTGCAGGGAGCCAGACAGGACTCAGCTCCTCACTTTCTTTCAGACAGATCTTGGTGGCTATCTTCCCCAGACAGTGGTGGATTCCTTTTTTCCATCYAGCATATCTGGATTTTACAGTAACCTGACCAAAGCTGTTAAGGGATTAAAAGCATGACAAGACAAGTTGCAGGCATCACCAGCTGAGAGTARGAAACAACCTGTCAGCTGGTGCTGAAAATACAAAGTTGGCCTCAGGACTTTTCTATCAGCTAAGATACATAGGAAAGGTGACATGAAAGAATGAACTGAGTACAATAAATTTTTAAAAGTGTTTTCTACCTGACTCCATGCAGAACAATGCATTCTTATGTAATATGAAATTCTTCACTTTCATGATTAAACAAATACCACACCAGAGGCTGGAAGAATCATGGAGGCAGCAGTGGTGACTGTCTGCAGGGAGAAGATGCACATACTGGATCTGTTCTTGGCCACTCTGACAGTGTCTGTGAGGTGAAGCATTGCTGAAATCCACAAAGCACCACAGCCAGGTGTGGGTCACTTRTGTTTGGTCTCTGAAGCTCCCTGCAGATTCCTGTGGAACAAGGTTTCTTCCCCTAAAGATGTTTCTCCTGCTGCCAGCACTCATAGAGTGGTGCTAGAGGCGTCAGTGGGACCAAGCCAGCAAATGGTGAAATGGGATTATGCAGAGGATTTCATTTGTTTTGTTCCAGCAGATATGAATTTTGATGGTAAATATGCCTTAAGTGCTTTTTTCTGAGTCAGGCTCAGCAGTGCTAATCAATTCACAGTTTGGGGGCTGGCAGACTCTCTCCCTTTCCCTTCTCTCTACCAAAACCAGTGGTTTCACAGTGTCATGAAGCAAACTGAACCGACACAGAGGCAATAAAGAAAGAGGAATTGAGCACTTTACTTGCCATTTTTTAAACTGCACTTGAAATGACCATTTTGAACTGCATTTGAATGTTTTTTTGGTTTCCTGTGGTGGGAGGTTTTAACGGGTAAATAATCTTTTCAGTAGCTTTGCCTTGACAAGCCACAAGGACGTTGCTTTTTTTAAGACTGGTTTGCTTCACAGCTTTATATTGGGAAATCAGCACCTGATTTTGTGTGCCAAGATGTGTCCCCCATCCTTTAGGGGATGTCTATGGTGCTGGTTGCTGCAGGAATGTCAGACAATACTATGGATTGCATAAAATTACAAAAGTGAAAATAATTGCTGAATTAGGAAGTTAAATGCAGGTTGTGGTTTTAATGTGGTAACTCGATTATTTAACGAGGTTAATATGCTCTGCTTTCTGTCTCTGTATRTTTTTTATATGTGGTATAGGGCATGGACTTGCACATTAAGTTTCCCATTGTAAACCTCAACCTCTGGAATAGTTTTTTCCAGGAAACAGTTTTTAGTCTAGTCTYCTTTGTATACAAAGATATAAAACCTGTGTGAGTTTGGTGAAATAAATATTTTTTTTTCTGCTACATATTACTGTTTTTCCTGAATCATCCTTTGAAATGGTTCTTCCTATACCTGTTCTTCCAGCAAAGAAGCTGAAGAGCTGCTTAGACCTCCAGCATCTGAATTTAAGACAATGAGACAGAAAAAGCTTTCCTTGGCATAATGTCTCCTACCTAGGCAAGAGGGGTTCTCACATTTTTCTCCTACTTTGAATGCTACCTAACTAATAAAAGTTTTGGTTTTGGACAGAGGTTAGTTTTTGGGAAAGATGGCTCAACTGGGGTCAAGAATGTTCTTTCAAGGATTAATTTACAGTTGTTTTATRAGAAAAGGCCACAGCAAGTTCAATGCCTGGATTTAATTAATACCTTCTCCTGCCTCTCCTACTTCCCTTTCTCTTAACGGCTGTTTTTGAGACATTGTGTTAAGTGTGTGGAAAATAGCTCCTGAACTCTTTAATTTCTTCCTGGTGAAATGAAGTAACCGAAGAAGGGCACAAGGGAACAGCCAAGGACAATAACCAGTGCAGCCATCTGGCTCTCTGCTGAGTCACTATTCCTTCCTGCTGTTCATCTCTCCCTTTAATGAAGCAGATTGGATAAGACCAAGTGGGTGCATGAATCCATCTTGCTATGGATACTCGTTCTTCTGCTGGTACAATTCCTTGCAGTGCACGTAGGAAGCAGCGTTTGAAGCACAGATTTGTCTCCCAAGTTATTTAGCATTTCTGGAATAAACAGTTCAGAAGTACTTGGATTCACAAATACTCTCACTGGAACTTGCCTTGCAAAATTAATACAGACTTTAAAAAAAAAACGAAAGTGTGGTTAGAAGGTTAAGATTTGGTTCTGAATGGCCTTGTTRTTCTGTACTCCTCTTGGCACCTCTGGCCTGAGGAAGGTTAGAAAAACCATTCCCCCTTGGAATGCCGTGAGAACTCCTTTYCACCCTGTTTGCTGCGTTGAGATGGCTCTGTCAGCTGCTAGTAGAGAGTTCCCTTTACAGGCTCTGTGTTTTTAATAGAAAAGCTGGAATTTTCTAGGGAGTGTTCTGACACACAAAACTGGTTTCTCTGCCATACACTTTCCCAAAGTTAGTGTTTAGTCGTAGGCTCGTTGACATGTTTCTTGTTCCTGGGAAGGTAAGGGAGGGARCAGGACTTGGAGAGTAGCCCTGAAAATTTAGCCCAGGATGTGCTTCTGATACTTGTTAACTTAATGGCTTAAAATAGGAGAATGCTATAGTTGTCACATATTTTATTACAACCAGTATATTATTAACAAAGTCATTCTTTATAATTATACACTTTGTAACATCTGTTTCTGAATGCTGAAATAAGAATCCTGCACATTTTAGYCCATCCCAGACAGATTTCTCTGTAACTGGCAGTAAGATCCTGTATACTCTTCGTGGGTGCTTTCTGAGTATCTTGCTGCGCCAGCCAAGTGCCTGCAGGTAATAAAATCCTTTGTTTGAATATTGGCAGTAGTTTAATCCCTCTTYTTACAAAGTTTCAGATGACTTGGTGGTAAGAGAGCTGCGGTTCTTCCTCTTGATGATGGCTGTGATGGGCCCATCAGGTAATGCCTTGATTACATTCCATGCCTCAAAACGAGTGAGTCCTTGCATGGCAGTTGTGTGCACTTGTAACAGCTCATCACCAGGCTGGACAGGGCTGCTCTGCTCCAGGGCAGTCCCTGGGGAGAGAAAATKAATTTCCTGTAATTCTGTGGAGCAGACTTTAACGGATCTTTCACTTTAATTAGCAAATGGAACACCAGCATCTTTGGTATAAACCACCTGGTCCCAGCAGGCAACAAATTACTGGCACTGAACAAAATAACACTGCATTTGCAAAAACTAACATTTCTTAGTTATAAATCAGCAGTGAGYTAGGAACTCCACAAGTGTGTTTACCTTTAAATATCCTGTTGATGATGATGGGTTTGTCTCCCTGAATAGAGCCTTTCCCTCCTTCCAGACTGAATCCTAAACCRGCAGGTGTTTTTTCTAGAGTTACAGTGCAGATTGTATCTCCAGTTGCTGGAAAGAAATGGAAAGTTACCAGATGGACAGCACGTAATCTGAAAAGCTAAAACATCTGTTAAAAGAGATTAACTTTTGGGTTGTTTGTAAAGGTACTATAAACTGCCAAATGAAAGAGAAAACCGAAAACTTTTAATTTCTGGTTTTATCATTTCAAGGCACACTGGGGAGCTGGGGAAAGAAAGTTATGTTTGAATTAGAGGGAGAATGGAAACAAGACATTTACTAGAATTACAAAAATCTGTTAAATGAACGRAATCTAAGGTAAATATTTGACTTCATTTTAGTTATGAAGTTGTTATTGATTACAAGGCTGCTAATYTGCAATATGGAAATAGAGCTACAGATCTCCAGATCTTGTTTTAGAAAAAAAGCCAAAATCCAAACAAAAACCAAAAATATCCTGAAAGTGAAATATTCTGCAAAACCCTGACCTTGCTGTGTTTCAGATGTAGCCACCTGCTATACTGAACAATAGCACATTGTTTGTTCAAACTGAAATTGTCTTTCATGAAGAACAAGTCTTGTGGCAATATTAGAATAAAGGATCACTGTTCACTGAGTTGTCATTACACCTTCAATTAGATGTGCTGCTACAATAACCATCTTTGTACATCTACAGAAATACATGTAGAGAATCACACTTGCTTGGGTTCTTTGGGGAGTTCTTTTGTTTTAGAAATCCATGAATTCTTTCCCTTTTCAATGACATTATTACAAATATCTATTTCAGGAATGTTTATTAACTGCACTGTCTTTAATCATGGTTCACAGATTTATGCAGCCARTGCTGGTTTTATGAACACCTGGATTTCAGGTGATGAGTAAATAATTACCAGGCAGGGCCTGCAAGATAATGCCACTAAACTTACCAGACTCTTGTGAGGCATCACTTGCTACTGAAGATGTACTAGAGCTGATTGAAACATAGAGATTTTTTTCTCCTTCTTTAGGTTTTCTGGTGACAACAACAGCTTGTCTGGGTTGTCGAGCCTGTCGCATGATGGCTGAGGCATCACTGTGAGTTGCACCTTTGAGAGACTTCCCATTAATGGACAGGACTTCATCTCCTTTCTGGATAGTTCCTTCCTGATAGGCCAGGCCATKGGGAAATACTTTGTGAACCTATTGAAGAGCCCAGTCACCATACACACACACACACAAGGGAAAAGGGAAAAAGGACATGTCACTAAATCACTCAGTTAATATTTTTATCCATGTGCATTTTTCATTCTTTGCCAGGAACAAGTTGCTTCTGTCACATTTTAGGAYTGAGGACTGAATCAATTTGCACAGAGATGTTTCCTGTGCACATCCCTCCTCCAGCAGCCAGGGAAGCAGTTTGGCCCTGATACCCGTGCTGCCTGCAGTTTGTACCTTCCATGTGCTCCTTCCTGACCCTATTCTCTGCYTGTGGGAGGAAGGAGGTGTGAAGCTTTAACTCCCAGACCCCTCACATGTGTATTCACCCACCCCATTCCTCCAGAACACCCTTTTATAAGCACGTGAGTAAGATGCTGTTATTTCCTGCCGAGRGTGGTGTGTTCTGCTGTGTTTTCAGAGTTGTTGGGGAGGAGGTGCCAGCAGGGCACTCCTGCTTGGATTCTCTAAAAGTCAGACACTGGAGTAGAAAACCAGTAAGGTATGTATTTTTAGATAGAGAAGCTGATTTGAGAGGATTTTTTAAGATGCTACTTACTGTCACCACTTTGTTTTCTAGGTCAATGCCCCCTGCCAGGCTGAATCCAAGCCCAGTATCCTCTTCTTTATGCAAAACTGTAACATGAATATCATCAAATTCCTAGGCAGAGAAAGGAATGAAGTCAAGCACTTCYCAAAAAATGTGTCACGATGATTGGAAAGTCAGCATATTTTCTTTTTCTCTGTTGTGCGTTTTTATAATGAGACTTTAGTGTCATAAGAATAATATTAAATTAACCTTAAGATTAAACAGACACATTCACTCTACAACTTTCTGAAAATCATGCRCAAGAAAAAAGCAGGTCTACCTTTAATGTTTCTTCATCTAGGGCTTTGACTTCCTCTATGAGCTTTGCCAGCTCCTCAGGGGAAAGCAGAGAGATGACTGACTGCCCTGACACTCCGGATGCTTGAGGTGAGCTGTGTTCCTGCTTGTCTTCCTCCTTGCCTTTGTCTGCCAGGCTCACCGTGTATTCTCTCAGCTCAGAGAGGCTGTGCCATTGTGACAAGAGCAAAAGAGAAACATTGAGCTATGAAAGARCAACCCCACTAAAGCAAAAGGCAATTTTGGAGCAGGCATCTTTTGATCTTATTAGCATGTAATTGGGGTGGTAACGCTCATAAATATTATAAATATAGGTAAATGGAAATTAATCACGTTAACTTAAAAGAAGAAGAATCCATTGCATAAAAGAATTAGATTAATTTCATGGCYTCAGGCAAAGACAGACTTATATCTGCTTTATCATGGAGATGCTAGAAATACTTTTCCTTAAATAGGAGGAGGTTTGAAATATACATGTGCCTTTATAATACAAATCAGAACCAAAATTAACAGTCATGTGAGTCATTTAACCTTTRTGTTCTAAAAAGTTCTTAGTCTGTGCTTTACTTCTGTGTGCTGCTACCTAAGAACTTTAATCTGTCAGCAGATCARCACAGCTGCTCACCAATGCTTATCTGTAAATCTGAGTTTGAAATATGGTGTCTTACTTTAGGGAGAACCCAGTGTCCAGGTGATGATTCTCACTTGCAGSTGAGATGGAAGTGCCATCATCCTCCATGGAGGACTGAGACACTGTGTCCAGAGCCTCCCACGCACTGTTTCCAGAAGAGGCTGGAGATTGAGGAAGGCAAAGCAATGATTTCATTAAAGCAGATGACACCTGGCTGCTGATGGAATAGATTTTGCTGCATTTCTCATCATATGGCTTCATTATCTCACAAGCCTGGGCAGCAGTAAGTGGGAAGCTTCGTGACCTTAGGCTGTGTGCTTTTGCCACTGACACAAGGTGGGAGTTTGCAATGGCTCCCGTAGATAAGAGATTTGATGAATTTTCAGTGCTGGCATTGCTGCTTCTCTCTGAGCTGGTTGCAATGTCCTGCCTGCGAGAGGAAGATCTGTCCAGACTYTTTGTCCCCATGGCCACAGGTGGCTGTTGGTGGCTCTTTTCACCGTGTTGGTTTGAACAGGCTGGAGCTGCTTCTGCCCCTGCTGCAGCGGGAGAAGGCTCTTTCTGCACCGATGGTTTCAGGCTCAACCTTCGGGGGGTTTTTTCAGGTGACTGTGGAGCACTCAAGGATTCAAATGAGCTWATTCTTTGTTTTATTGATGATCCTCCAGGAGACAGACGTGATAAGCTGGATTGCAGTTTTTTGCTTGAAGTACTATCCTGGTTGGGAGTTTGATCTGCCTGAGGTTTTAGATCTGAATTTGCTTTCCTAAATCCTTTCAAACTTTGGCGGAACCAGGTGGGCTTAGGTGCAACAGGAGGGCCCTTTTTCACACTGTCATTTTCATCTGATTTTAGCACTTTTGAACCGACTAATTCCGATTCTGATTTCTTCAGAATGGTCTCTGAGCTGCTTCGATTTTGATTCTCTTTGTTTTTTGCGATGCCAGGTTGCAGATCTAAGTGGACGTTGTTTTCACTCATGATAGGATTAAATAAGCTTTTGATGCAGTCAGAAATTTTAACCCAGGGGTCTTCTGTTGTGTCAAGACTGTAATCTACCCGTGCTTGTCTTTTAAGTACAGGCCTTTGTATTGATGAAAGTGAAGTCCCTGTAATACAGACATCGATTATAAACAAACCTCCTTCTATTTCTCTATCCCTTCTCGCTGCATCATTGTTAATTGACTAAATTTGAATTTCATTCAAGCCTTTGATAGATTTTTTTTAAAGTTTCTAAAAAGTTTAAATTTGTGAAAAATTGTAACTATTGATCTACAAGTGCTAAATACAGATACTCTTGCATGCTTAAATATGAGATTGCATTTTTAAATTTTACAAATTCTAAGTATAACTTGAAATTCTGGGGTGCTCAAGTCTTGATATAGTCTTCAACAGCTAAAATAGATGGTTAAAACTGCAATGTTGTTTGTAGCTTAGAGAAAAAGCTGATGTTACAGTAAATTGTTTTCAAAAGCATTGTTTCTTTTCTACCTTTAAAAGTATATCCTACTCTAAGAAGACTCTTGTAGGAAAGATATTTGATATTTATGCTTCCTTAAATTTCTGAAGACATTTCCAGTTGATTTTTCTGATAAGTAAAAACTTGATTCTAATGTGGGAATACTTTTTACATCACAGGATGATGAAACATTTTAATGTTAGACATGGTGGAGCTGAATGGCAGCAAACTTCTATTTGTGCAGTTGCAAGGTACCTTTTATCTACCTCAGTGTGAACTTATTTTTTGATCAACATTTTGATTTTTTTAATGATCTGAGCCATAAATTAAAGATTACATTAGCATTTATGTTGCAAGAGTCCTCTTGAGATTGTCTTGCTCCCTTAACAYTGCGTTTCCTTAATTCTAAATAGTGCAGCAGAAAATGAACTTCTCAGTGGTTTGTACCATTGCAACACTGCAGCCCTGAAACTGTGCAGGAAAATGTCCTTTATAAATGCTAAAACTAACCTTTAATATCAGATTTCAGTTTAACTAAGCAGACTCACCTGAAGTAATACAGCAGTATTGGACTTGTTCATTAACAATTTTTACAATAAATCATCTCTTCTGCTGTTTTTGGTCTGCTTCCCTTTTTAACCAAGATTAATCAATATTTTAAAATTTTTACAATCAATCATCTCTTCTGCTGCTTTTGATCTACTTTCCCTTTCTTTACAAAGATTAATCAATAATTTGAAATTTCATCTGTTCAYCCCAAAATTTACAGACATGGTTTGAAGACTGCATTTAAAGAGAAAGTGAAGTCAGCTCAGTACCCATTTTGGAATCCGAACGAAAYGCTACATTTAGCTGGAAAGAAAAGTTCATGGAATTGAACATACCTAATTTTTCTTTTCTTTCTTGATCTCTGCCCACTGGGACAGCAGCTGTGTGTTCCTTATCATGTGCTGGAGGAGAAGTGGTAACGGCCCCGTGGGTTACATCAGTTTGATGTCCCTCTAGCATTGGTTCTCCAACTTCCTGCTGAACAAACAGGAAAGAGAAGTGTGTCAGAATGTAATTATGCAAACCACACCGTATATGAATCTGAAAAAAAGTCTGAAAAAATATGAGAATCTGGGAAAAAACAGACAACCCATATAAAACTGTGGTATGCAGGCCTCAGACTGACTAACACAAAATTTGGGGGGAATAAAAGTTGAAAAAATGTAAAAGTGGTAGTAAAACCTTCTCTTAATAATCTGAAATAGATTCTGACAAGAAACTCTCTCTCTTGGGTGCGTACAGATACACAGAATATGTTAATAGAGGAAGTTGTCTTCTTGAACAGACCTTGATTTTTCATGGATTTTATTGATCTTAGTATTTAGTTTTTTCACTGTCATTTAGAATGACTAAAAACTGAAGAATAAGAAGTTGCAGGGAGTGATATGTTCAACAAATACTGATTTCCCTCAATTTTACCTCTGAAAATTTATTTTCCAGCAGCAATTTTTACTGCCCATCTTAGTGGATGGTAAGTTGACCTTAAGAGTGACCTTACATAAGGTGCTTAACAGAAATTTTCTTGGATATTAACATTATATGTGGACTTCAGTCTGCTCCATATAATTTTATCTTGATCTTTGCAGTTTGGGAACTGTTTGGGGCTCTGTTTGGGGTTTTTTCTTTTTTTTAACAGTTCATTTCTACTGGCTTATTTCTAAACCTGGGGAGAAGAGGTTTCGGTTTTAAACAAACCACAATTTTGTTTCMACATGCAGATCTTCACACTCATGCGAATGCAAAACACTCTCTGTTGTCTTAGATGAGAGAGGGAAGTGAAATTTAGTCACGCACAAAYACACTATTTTCAAATAATGTAGCTCATCAACAAATATGTACATGTAACACAATTTAATGGGTTTGTTTAATACCTCCTGGTCTCTAGAAATATATCAGCACCCACAATTACCTGCTGCAGATCATGTTTTCTTCTAAAAAAAAAATCCACTACTGAAACAAAGAAACTGTTTCATGATTTCTCTACTTCACAAATGATTTGACTCTGTGGCACAGATTAGTTAGGGTCAGCCATACCCAGCTGACATCGAAGGGTGAGTAAACCACCCTTTAGTCCCAGCCTAGGGCATAACCCTGGAGCCAGAGAGTGGCACATGTTCCCAGGGAGTGGCAGGGACTCAATTCATTCTTGCTGCTTCTCTCACTTGGATTTCAACTTTGCTTCCTTGGAATGGGAGAAGATTTTCTTCAGGCACTTCTCTGCCTTCTGACCTTAGTTTGTACATAACTGGCTTCACTAAGATATACAACTTATTTTCAAAACAGAAGAGCTTCATCTTCTTCCATCAATTCTCACATGTAAATACATTTTCTCCTTCTTCCTGCCATCATGCAAAGTCACTTTGCTTTCCTCCTTCCTCACAAACATGCAAACACAAGAAAAATGTAAATTTTGCTTTACCTGAACACTTACAGAAGGTGATGGAGCCATTTCTGATGCAAGCTTTTCTTTGCTGTCTGCATTACCCTGATCATCAAATGTACAGTCCTGCTTGAAGTATTTCCTCGGTGGAGGTTTGGGCTTTGATGATTTTGGTTTTCTAACRAGAATCTCTGATGACTTCTTAGTGCTTTGCAAGGGTCGACCTCCTTCACTACAGGTCGGGGGGGAATTTCTCTCTGAATTACTGGCAGAGAACGAGCACAGCAGGCCAGGYTGTCTGGTGATTGGCACATCCACACTGTGCACTCTTGTTTTCAGGTGGGTGAGCTGGTGCACAGCAGWGGCACAGGAGGCTCTGGGGGTGCAGCTGCTGTCGCTGCTGGAGCGGGTCATGAGCCGCAGCGCCCGGCGGCTGCAGGAACCCACACTCCTGTCCATGTGCCTCTCACACGGGTGCCTTCCATGCCAGCTCATTTCCAGCCTCTTGACACCTGTGTCAGGAACAGTTCAAAATGTCTGCTCAGTGCATAACAAGTGCTGATRAATTTTTAGCTAGGTAGCATCTTTGGGGGATGCAAAGGTGTGATTTGTGCTTTGCTTTGTAGAGTGAAGAGTCAACAACCAAGTTTCTGGACACCAAAATAACATTTTCCCCATATATATGGGTATATCAGCAGTATAGCTTAACTCAAGAGTCAACAGCCAAGTTCCTGGACACCAAAATAACATTTTCCCCATATATATGGGTATGTCAGCAGTATAGTTCTAATCAAGAGTCAACAGGCAAGTTCCTAGACACCAAAATAACATTTTCCCTATATATATGGGTATGTTGGCAGTGTAGTTTTACTCAAGAGTCAATAGCCAAGTTCCTAGACACCAAAATAACATTTTCCCTATATATATGGGTATGTCAGCAATATAGTTTTACTCAAGAGTCAACAGCCATGTTCCTAGACACCATAATAACATTTTCCCTATATGTAGGGGTATGTCAGCAGTATAGTTTAACTCAAGAGTCAACAGCCAAGTTCCTAGACACCAAAATAACATTTTCCCTATATATATGGGTATGTCAGCAGTATAGTTTTACAGATGGTGATTCTGTTACCTACTGGTCCATTCAAATACATGAGGACACTCAAAGGAGTGTTATTCCAACACATTTCTGTGAGAGGATGTCAAAGCTGAGCAGAGCAAACAGCTCCAACCATGGCTGCATATGCCTCTCCTCACAAATTAGGGATTAACAAACTGTTTGCCCCCAGGACATCACCTTCATTGTGCAGCTCCTTGTWGTCATAGTCCTGTCACCTACAGACRTTTGTTTGAAAAGCTCTAAGCAGAGGTTGTGAATTGGAAAGGATGAGCAACTGTGAGAGGAAGTTTGCACAAAAAGTTTTTGTGGGTAMTCAGACAGACTTGGTCTGTTCTCAGCACTCTGGTAACGTATCMTAGATGTGTTAGGGGGATTGTCCTGTGAGATTTTCTCGTTTCTTTCTTTCTGCTCCAGGTTACTAAACTATTAACAAGGATTCCAATATAGCAGTACTCATCTTTGACAACTTTAAAGTGAAAAGTGCCATATCTCAGTGAATGCATTTATTCCCTTACCTTCAATACTCCATTGGTGTCTCTCCTTTCCAAATCTGTTGCTTTCCACAACTTGTGCAACAGCTTCTTTTAGCTGTTGCTCAGAYACCTAGGAAACATTATGCCATTTTACTTCGTGAGATTGCTGTGGGGTGAGTTAATTGCACATGATTATATTTTTATATATCCCAGTATATAYGAAGTATGTCTAYGGATGTRCTGGTTTTAGTGGTTGTTTAGGTRARATGGGRACTTTCAAAAATAAACATTCTTACRCAGATTTCACTAGAAGTGGAGTCCTGGATTTACCAGTATAAGGTAACKTAATACACCATAATTTATGTAACAATTTATACTTGATGATAATTTATACAGTGTTTGGTGTTAGGAAGCATTTTTTAGAAATACCTTGCAAGAATAAATATTGTACTATAGTAATAATTTAATTATAAATATTGGCTGGGCAAGGCCTGAATTTTAATTACTGAAAGATGAGGGTATAAACATTTCTTTCTTTTTTAGGAGGTGTATTCCTTATTTCAAATTATTTACTTCTTGTTGTCAATTCTTTCTTACATAAGAGCTATATTTTGGGCTATCCCTTAAATATAATTTCTGTAGTTTCCTTATTCACTGACAAAAGTCCATGTAAGACTGTCACTAGTGATCTTCAAATATTAAATGATTCTATTTAAGAGAGTTMATTTCTCAGGTTTGTTTGTGTGCAGGGATGATCMTAAACAGATCAGCATCTTTATAGTCAACATTTTCCYACCAGTTTTAGATKAGCACTTGCTCCCTCTCAGTTCTCAATGTGTGCCATACTGAAAGGCAGAGAGAATACAGAGTGTGCTACCTGTGGTTCAGGGTGTCTGCTGATAATGATTTGTACTGCCCCAGGATCACAATGGCTTAGCACAGCGTAAACTTCATTGAGGGTTGTGTTTTGCACTGAAGTTTCATTAATTTCAAGAATTTCATCTCCACACCTACAGAGAGATTAAAGAAACAGAGGATTTAAACAAAACAGATTTTCTCCTGACCTTGTCTCACTTATGTGAAAACATGCAWAAAGCTCAGAAGGTTAACCTCTAATTTGATAAGAGATTAAATCTGTCTTTTTGTCCTGTCAAAGGAAAGGAAAGGGAATGAGTTGGATGTCAAGGGGTTTTGATCTGCAGTGTTGCATACAACCTTTGAGCTTTCTGCACGTTCAGCTATGCACACTTCGTGATCTTTCTGCTGTCTGCTGCTCAGCTGCTGCTTCCACCTACATCTTCCTTCCTTCCTTTYAATTTAACACTTCACTTTTCATGTCTTTATCTTATGTTTAATGTCAGAAACATTGTTGTTTAATGTCAGAAAGGATGTTATATTTCTGCTACATACATGAATAACTTGTTAAAAGAAAAATTCTAATGACAAATTATAAGAATTTGCTAGATTGGATTTTTCTAAATGAAATCCAAATTGGGCTCATATGGAAACTGAAACTGCCTTGCTCTGCTCTAGTGCCCACATACATTCAGAGGCTGACTGAAGGCAAGGATTTGTATCAAACAAATATTTAAATAGTTTAAGACTATAGTTCTTTCAGCAYATACGCTTTGAATCCAAAATTCCCAGAAATCAATATTCCTTCCTGCCCAAACAAGTCAAAAATAAACCAATAGAACAGAGCAATTCAGACAGTCTTTCTCATCCTACCTGAGTCTCCCATCCATGTGTGCCACTGAGCCKGGTGAGAGGGTGTGAATAAAAATCCCTGAAATACACTGGGAGTAAGGGATGCTACATAAYCCAATTCCAAGGCCAACACCCGGCTCTGAAAGAATAAAAAATTAAAAGGAGACATAAGAAACCATCAAAGCAGCCTTTTTAAAATTAAATTTAATTTTTTTTTACTGTACAAACCAAAGCCAAAGTCTTGTGTTCATGAATGTTGCACATTCAGTATTTGTTGCTGTTTCCATTGCTTTCTTCTATTCCTTTTTATTGTTTTATTGTGAGATTGTTTTGGAAGGTTTTGTTCCCCTCATGATTAAAGTGTCACAGACACAATAAAATACAGGTTTATTTTGCAAAATATCTGTCATTACAGAAGAATTCAAATGACTTTACAAGGAGACAGAAGAGAAAAAAATTAAGGAGCTAAAATTAAGGGGAAAAACTAGAAAAATGGAGGATATATGACTATTRTTAGCTATTTAATTTTAATCCTCATATTTTTTCTAATACAGTTTAAGWCTTCTGTGAGTTTACCCTCTTTGCTCTGGACAGTCACTCTGCTGTCAGATCCCATACTGTGTGTTTGGTAAGTCACTGTTACCTCACAGAGGCTTTCTTGCTCTCTTTGCTGCTTTGATGTTCCCATATTTAAAAGTTTATTTCATTTTGCCGGTGGTTGTTTATAAATAGATGATGATGACAGTTGGAGAGGCGGTGAAAGAACTACAAGAAGATATAGATACTTATTTTATTTGGTTTTAAGCCTTTTGAAGAATGAAATTAACTGCTTGCATAATTATGGGTAAGAGTTGCACAATCTGCTCTTAATAAGTGGCAGTTGTTGACAAGAGCTTTACTTTTCCATGTGAAGGATATGAATGTGACTCTAATGCTTGAGTGAAAAAACTGAATGATTGGTTCTTGAGGACAGATGGTGTTCAAAATCCTGCTGTTGATAGAAACTTGTTAGCACTGACAGGCACCAAGATCTAATTTGGTGTATTGAAGAAAACTTAGTTGAGAAAAAGAATCAGGTTAGTGAGGAAAGACATTCAGAGAGCAAATGAACAGTGGTTTGTCAGTCAGKGCTTTGTTGGCAGTGCTCAGTTAATGTCAACACTTACCTTTGTTTAGGGTAACTTCCATTATGACCCTGTCATTGGGCTTTGTAGGATTTAACGAGAACGCTGCATTTTCTGAACTGAAAGAGCTGTTTTCTTTGGTTATGCATGCACTGGGGCTCTGTGACTGACACAAGAGGGGTGACTGACAGCTGGAAGCAGAATGAGGTGTGCTGAAGCTTGTCCTGACTGTAAGTGTCAGAAGACCCTTTTTGGCCTGCTGGAAAGAACAGACAATGAGTGAATGGGCTGAGCCCACATGCACATTGTGCAGAAAAACAGAGATTATTATGGAAGGAGAGTACATAACCTTGAACTTCTGTAAAGCATCATAATGTGTTAATCCATGCATGGAYTCCCCATTCAGTTCCAGGATTTCATCGCCTGTTTTGGAAGATAAAAATTATATTACTTTATTGTGCAGTGTTACATGATACAACATGCACTCAAAAGGAGTCTTCTAAATGCAAAAGTGGACGCAGCTGTAAAAGTTGCTTATGGCTCATTTCAGCTTCAATCTGTCTCTCAGGGTCTTTCATTTTTTGGGAGAGATGAGGGGTTTCCCACCTTCTTGTAGCCTTCCATCAGCAGCAGCTGCTCCACCAGGAAAGATGGTTTTGACATAGATGCCTATTGGTCCATAAATGCTGTCTTTACCACCAACAATACTGAAGCCCAAACCCTGATTTAGGGAAGAAAAACAATGTGAGAGCCCATGTTCAGTGCTCCTAATGGTTCATTTGCAGTTTCTYCTGCATTGCTTACATGGGCAGTGTTGTCACTGCAGTAGTATAATACATGAAAAAATAGTTACATTCCAGTAGTAAGTGGGAAATTCACCAGAATCTCCTCGTTATTTGCTTTTTGTTTGTTGCAATCAATGAATTCACTATTATAAGCACATAGGAAGGTGTCTAAACTATTTTTTAAAAATTTTTGTCTGGGTATGAATTGGCAGCCCAGAAGGAGCAATGTTAATACAGTAATTGCTTCTTTGCACTTTGCAGATTGCATTTGTGAAATGAAATAAAATCAACAGAGCCAGTCTTACCTTCCCTTGTCCTTTCATCAGTACAATGTTTGAAATTACTGARGCCTGTGAGCCACAGGATGTGTGCACCAGTTGTGCTGTGCTTAGAGATCTAGAAGGCCTCGAAATTGCCTGTGAACATTAAAAAAGAAACCCACATTTTTCTTTTTAATGCATGAGCAGAAATTCTTGAACACATATTGCAGCAACTTGTTTATTTGAAATGTTCTTTGTTATAACTGAYGGTACTGAAGATTTTTCTTTAAAAAAAACTCTTTCTAGTTTTCATAAGCAATTTGTTAGAAAATCTCTGCTCAGTGCATTTGTCCTGCAGGGACTAAATTGGAGAAAAATTACAATATTGGTCCTTGAAGTGGTGTAATGAAGGATATATTWATGCTCTCACTTGATTCTTCATGCCAAAATCCCATTTGTCCCACGRGACTGCTCTCCAGCCTCCTTTAATGTGTGTTTAAATCTGTCTGATTCAGCAGGGACAGAAATCAGCACCTCACACAGCCATGAGGTGAGTTCACACCCACTGTGGCCATGGTGGATGGCATTGTGGCTCACAGTGGGGTGATGTGAGCCACCCTTGGGGTTTAGACACACCCTAAAACCTG